GTAGCTCTTACTAGTTTTTCACTATGCTAATCTGCTGAATCAAAAGTTCAGTCTCTGGATCTTCTTCTATTGTACGTCTCTCTCTCTCGCTTTTCTCATATTTCTTGTTTTGATTTTTTCGTTTCTCTCTCTGATCTGTTTCTGGAAACCACACTCAGTTTTGATCTGATATTCTATCATTTACATTTCTCTCAATCTATTCTCCTTTGCGTGAATTGTGAACAATCCAAACTCATTTATGTTTTTGCCTGAATCGTTTTCTTGTGATTATTCTGTATTGTAATATGTTGTTAATTTGTTTTTGCAGAGCCAATCATAGATTCAACGATATGGCATTGATGCAATATAAGCTACATTGAGTATTGCAAAACGACTAAAAATGGGATCCGTATCGCTAAATATCGGCGATGGAACCGCAAGATTCAAGCGATCAACGCTTTGTTCATCAGCCATCAACTTCATTATGCTTTTCTCTATAGTCACTACTAATCTCTTTGCACTATACGCCTTCTCGTCTCGATCACAATCTCACATACAACAACACCCTCTACATTCCAACAAGGTCTCTTTGGTTTCTCAACATCTCTCGCTTATCCTCAGAGAAATCGATTCTTCTCAACGACAACTCTCTCAGATGGAGAAACAAATGATTGGTTATGAAGATCTTGATTTCTCGCATACCGATATTCCTCAAGAGCTTAAAGTGTTCCTCCAACACCATCAGCTTCCTCTTGCTAAAGATTCTCGTAATGGAATCACTGAAATGGTTGCATCTATTGGACATTCTTGCGAAAAGTCTCTGGATTTGTTATCTCGGTATATGGCGTACAATGCATTCGACAAATGTCCTGATGATTGGAGCCTAGCGCAGAGGTTGATTCTCCGTGGTTGTGAGCCGTTGCCACGCCGTCGTTGTTTGGCTAAAACGGTACATAAGCCTGGTCTTGCACTGTTTCCTGAGTCTTTGTGGAGACCGATTAGTAACAATAGTGTTAACTGGAGCGGTCTTGGTTGCAAAAGTTTCGAATGCTTGAAAGGTAAGAAGCTGAGCAGGGATTGTGTTGGTTGCTTTGAGATAGGTACTAGTTATGAGAAAGATAGGTTTGTTAAGGTTAAAGAGAAGAATGATTTCTTGATAGATGATGTTTTGGGTTTAGGCGATGGGAAAATCCGAATGGGGTTCGATATTAGCGGCGGATCAGGAACATTTGCTGCTAAAATGGCTGAGAAAAACGTGAATATAATCAGTAATACATTGAATATAGAAGCTCCGTTTAGCGAATTCATAGCTGCGAGAGGGCTGTTTCCATTGTTCATGAGTATGGACCAGAGATTACCGTTCTACGACAATGTTTTCGATCTCATTCATGCTTCAAACGGGTTGGATTCAGTGAGTAGTAGTAATAAACCCGAGAAGCTGGAGTTCTTGATGTTTGATCTTGATCGGATCTTGAAACCCGGTGGATTGTTCTGGTTGGATAATATCTATTGCGGTAGTGACGGGAAGAAGAGAGATCTTACGCGTTTGATAGAGCGGTTTGGGTATAAGAAGCTGAAATGGGTTGTTGGAGAGAAAGCTGATGCAGAGATTTATCTCTCTGCTGTTTTGCAGAAGCCTGCAAGGATTTGACTCAAATGTGAAGAAGAAGATTTTGATTTGTTTATTTAGTTCCATTGATTAAGATTTGGAATGCACATGAAACCATAGTCTCTGAAACTTCGAGCAGTATACAAACAAAGTTTGAAGTACATGAAAGATGGGGAGACTCGTGAAGCAAATATATCATTCGACTCTGTTTTGTTTTATTGAAAAACACAATTACAAATTCATCTTAATAGAATTTGTTGAAGATATTCACGCTCAGACTAAAGATAATCTTGATAAGGCAGCCGCAAATTACATAAAAGCAGCGGATTCCGGTGACAATCTTTGAAGTAGGTGACCATCG